TCCTACTCCTACTCCTACTCCTACTCCTACTCCTACTCCTACTCCTACTCCTACTCTACTCCTACTCCTACTCCTACTCCTACTCTACTCCCTACTCCTCCGCTACTCCCTACTCCTACTCCTCACTCCTCCTCCTACTCCTACTCCTACTCCTACTCCTACTCCCACTCCATACTCCTACTCTACTCCTACTCCTACTCCGACACTCCTCTCGTAACTCCTACTCCTACTCCTACTCCTACTCGCTACTCCTACTCCTGCTCCTAATCCTTCTCCCCCTCCTTCTTCTCCTCCTCCCTCCCCTCCTCCTCCTCCTCCCCCTCCTCCTCCTCCTCCTCCTCCTCCTCCTTCTCGTCCTCCTCCTCCTCCTATTCTTCCTCCTCCTCCTCCTCCTCCTCCCTCCTTGCTCCCGCCTCCTCCTCCTCCTCCTTCTCCTCCTCCCTCCTTGCTCCCTCCTTGCTCCCTTCTTCATTCGATCCCTCCGGCAGCGGTGGCGCCACCGCGCCGGCCAGTCTGGGGGGCCCCCCAAGCGGTGTGGCGGAGGAGGCCCGCCCCCAAGCGGTGTGTGCCAGGCCCCCTCGAGCCAGGAAGAAATCACGACGGGAGGCTTTTCGCTGCGCTCGGCCTCTGGGGGCCCTCGCCGAACCTCGGGGCCGTGGAGCAACGACTCGGGACGAGAAACCAGCCCCTGGGGAAGGGGTCGAGGCCCGTGGGGGTCGATTTTCGACGACAGAAAACATGTCGGGCTTCCGCGGAGGAGCCCCCGAGGGCTGCTTGGGGCGCGGGGGGCGCCCGCGGGGGGCGTGGGTCCACTTGCTACGAGAGGAAACGTGACGTCGGGCCTCCGCGGAGGGTCCCCCGAGGGTGCTTGGGGGACGGGGGGCGCCCGCGGGGGGCGTCTTTGGTGGTTCCGATGGGCCACCGCCGCTCCCCCGCGAGCGGCGCACGGGGGGGGGGGTGCGCGTGTTGGCCGGCGGGCTCCGCGGCGTGGAGAGGGAGTGCGCGCTGTGGCCGCTTGCAGTGCGAGCTCCCCTTGCGCTGCAGTCGGGCGTGTCCCTCCACAGGAGGAGTATTCAGTCTCGGGACGATTTTTCGAGCATTTTTTGACTATGTTAGAACATTTCTTGACATTTTTTAATTTTTTCCTCCAGAATCCGCCTGTAGGAGGACATGCCCGACCTAACCCTTGCGCCCCTCCCCCCCCTTCTCAACGGCGAGCCCGGGTGTGAAGTGAGAAGGAGAAGGCCTTCTCGGAAGGTTCGGAAATCCCCCGGCCTTCTGAAGTGTTTTCTAAGCCTTCCCCGAAGGCAGACAACTTCTCAGGAGGCGCGAGGGCTTCTGAGAAGTCCCGCCGCCTTCTGAGAGGGCCTTCTCCTTCTCACTTCCCCCCTCGCTCGCCGCAGACCTTTGGTAGCGAATGATGGGGGCCTTGTGTACCCTTGCAGTTCTGTCTTCAGAGTGCACTCGCGTCGACTAGAGTCTGGTCATCGATGAGATGGTGCCGGTTTAGCGCCGACGAGGGCCGATTTGGCGTCGATATTTCCCGAGAGGCAAATGCAGTTTTTTCTGTAGGTGTTTCAATGATTCCTTTGTTTTTGCGTGTCCGCTGCTCAGGGCGACCGTGTCGGCTCAAAAGGTCGCCGTTTTTTTTTTTTTTTCGAGACACCCAGGCGACCCTCCAGAGGACCCCCCAAAGGCGCCCAAGTCAGAGGCTCCCAATCATCCTCACCACGCGGGAGACGTTTTGGTCCAGGACGTGACGATGATGGCCAGGTCAATTTCGATCCGATCGATGCTATTCGATAGAACTTCCGGCTGGCCCGATTCGATTCGAATCCGATGTCCCGACGCTCCGATGCGGCCCGATGCTGGCATGGCGCTGTTGTGCATTCTGGCGCAGCCGATCGTCCGATCCGATTTGATCTCGGTTCCCTGCCTATGCAGCCCGATCCGACGCAAATCTCGATCGTGAAGGCCTGACGGCCGGTGCCGCCGACCCTGAAAGACATCGACGACGACCAGGAGGGGGATGAGGAGGAGGAGGAGGAGGAGGATGAGGAGGAGGAGGAGGAGGAGGCGGAGATAAGGAGGAGAAGGAGGAGGAGGAGGAGGAGGAGGAGGAGGAGGAGGAGGAGGACGATGCGATGCCGACTGATCGGCCCCCCCAATCGGCCATTCGTTGCCGATAGGGTCCCGATAGCCTTAAGTCGGGCGTGTCCCTCTAGAGGAGGAATACTCAAAATAGTCAAAACATACCCTCGAGACGATGTTTTGAGCATTTTTTGGCGATGTTTGCTGATTATGGGGGAATTTCCAATCTGTCGCCCAAAATCCCCCTGTAGGAGGACATGCCCAGCCTAACGATAGCCCGCCCCGCCCGGAACAGTGCGGCCTCGGCATCAGAGGGCACGTCGCCGCTCGAGCGGCCTTGTGTCGGCGAGCCCAGCTCGACGTATCCCCTCCCGAGCCCGTGCCCCCCGGAGCGTTGCCCCCAGGAGACGGAGGAGGAGTCCTCGCCCCCTCCCCCCTACGCCTGGAGGCGTCTGCCAGGAGCGCTTGGCCGGAGGAGGGCGGCAGGACCCCGTTTTTTGTTGTTATTTGTCTCTCTCTCTCTCTGTCTCTGCCTCTCTCTCTCTCTCTCTCTCTTCGCTGTCCATCCGCTCGCTTTTCCGACCGCTCGTCGTGCAGGAGGAGGAGGAGGAGGGGAATGGATGGCCGAGCGCATTTTGCTTGTGCGTTTCATTTTTTGTTGGGGGGAGGGGAGAGGGGAGGTCCTCATAATGTAATCATTATGGTTCGTGCCAGATTTTCCGTCGTGTGCCTCCAGAGGACTCTTGAGACTTGGCACTCCCAAACTATCACCTGCTTTCCCCCCCTCCTCCTCATCCTCATCCTCTTCCTCCTCCTCCTCCTCCTTCTCCTTACGGTCTCCCTTATCGTCCTCGCATTACTCCTTGCCCTCGGCCTCGCTCTCGTCCCCATCCGCGTCCCCCTATCCATCCGCGCCCTTCAATCCGTCCTCGGCCTCATCCACATCCACGTCCACATCCTTCAGGAGGGAAAGAAGCACAGACACAATTAGTCGTCGACTCCCAGGAACACACGGGAAACTATGGGAAGTGGGGGGAAGACAAAAGCCCAGAACATATTGGAAAATATGGGGAATCCTGTTATTTGTGTGTATTTATTTGTGTGCCCCAGGGCCCCTTCAATCCTCTCCCCACCCCCATCCGCTCCAATCCTCGTCATCTTCAGCGTCCTCCGGCACGTCGTTCTTTCCACCTGTGGGGGTTCCCATGGCGTTCGACACCCCCTTCCAAGGCCCGTCCTCCGCTCCGTCTCTTCTCCGAGGAGGAGGAGGAGGAGGAGGAGGAGGAGGAGGAGGAGGAGGAGGAGGAGGAGGAGGAGGAGGCCGCGATGAGCAGCGCGGGGATGGCACAAGTCACGACGTCGGAGGCCTGGGAGCCTTGTTTCTCCCCAGCTGCGCTTCGACAGCTGGGCGGCGCAGCAAAGACGGGGTCGTCTGCGCCGATGTCGGGTCGCGGGAGCTGCCCGCGCAGGCTAGCGATCAGGAGCCCTCGGGGCGTGCCGCGCTGGCGGCCCGCGCAAGTCACCGCGCAAGGTCGCTATGCCGAGGCAGAGGAGGAGGAGGAGGAGGAGGAGGAGGAGGAGGAGGAGGCGGAGGAGGAGGAGGAGGAGGAGGAGGAGGAGGAGGAGGAGGAGCAGGAGGAGGAGGTCGCTATGCCGTCTCGCGTAAGATCCGTTTCAGATCGCCGCTCGGTTGTCGGTCGACGGCGAGGTGGGCTGAGTTTTCTGCCGCCGCGTCGCGCAGCACGTGCGCGCGACCGCCTGGGTGGGAGGGATGCGCCAGGGTGGGAGGCCATGCGCGCCGAGATCTGGTCCGGAGCGAGCCCCGTGGTGGCCTGGTGCGGCGCACGTGAGAGTGACCCTTCTCGGGGCTCAAGAGAAGGGGGCCAGAGCAAACGGGGGCCAGTCAGAGCGCCAGAGCTTGCAGGATCCTGCATGGCAAGGATCGCATTGCCCCGGTTTGGGGTGCAGGATCCCGCAGGATCCTGCAGGATTTTGCAGGTTCCTGCAAGGCCTCACTGACCTGGGTCTGAATAGACCCGAGTCTGTCGATCCCCGACCTTCGCCAGAGTGACCTTCTTTTGTTCGCTGCTTTCGGGGGGGCGCGGGGGGCCGAACCCAAAAACGCAGGCCGCAACTGTCGCATCGCATGCAACGCTCGGCAAGCAGAACACCGAGGATCAGTTCTGCCCAAGGCCACTTTTGTGTGTAGCCGATGGTTGCTTGTCGGCAGCCCACGAGCGACGAACATGTCCATATCTGTGCCCTCGCGGCCAGGATCCCGAGGCCCCGATCCCACGGATGCGCGATTCCAAGGGCTCGCTCCGTCCGCACGGGGCATCCGCGCAAAGCCGCGACGTGCCCATGGGGCCGCGGCGCCACGCGCGGGCGCGCGGCTGCCCGGCGGGGTCCGGCCCAGTAGGAGCTCCTTCTCCTTCCTTCCTCCCTCCTCCCTCCCTCCTCCCTCCTCCCTCCTCCCTCCTCCCTCCTCCTCCCTCCTCCCTCCTCCCTCCTCCTCCTCCTCCTCCCCGTCCTCCTCCTCCTCCTCCCCTCCTCCTCCTCCTCTTCTCCTCCTCCCTCCTCCTCCTCCTCCTCCTCCTCCTCCTCCCCCCTCCTCCTCCTCCCCTGCCTTCCTCTCCTCATTCCTCCTCCTCCTCCCCCTCCTCCTCCTCCTCCCTCCCCTCCTCATCCTCCTCCTCCTACCTCCTCCTCCTCCCCTCCCTCCTCCCCCTCCGTCCCTCCCTCCCTCCCTCCCTCCCTCCCTCCCACTCCCTCCCTCCCCTCCCTCCCTCCCTCCCGTCCCACCCTCCCTCCCTCCCTCCTCCTCCCTCCCTCCCCCTCTCTCCCTCTCTCCCTTGTCGGCGCTCCACGCCTCCTTGGCGGAGCCTGGGCGCATCGCGGGATGTCCGTCGCGTTGACCTGGCGGCGCGTGTCCTGCTGCCCGCGTCCGGGGGCCGCTGGGGGGCCGGCGCGCTGGGGGGAGGCTGAGGGCGCCACCGCCCGCGCGGCGCGTGGCCGAGTTCCGGCCAAACTCGGCCACGTGAGGCGCGGGCGGGGGCGCTGACGGGGCCGCGGGCCCCAGTGGCTGGTTGCCCTCTCCCCTCCTCCCCCCCCTGGTTCTTTTCGCGGGGGGCTCGGGGGGATGGCCGTTGGGGGGCCGGCGCGCTGGTGGGAGGGCGCCACCGCCTGCGCGGCGCGTGGACGAGTTCCGGCCGAACTCGGCCACGCGGGGCGCGGACGGGAGCGCTGACGGGGCAGCGGGCCCCAGGGGAGGGCCGCCCACCCCCACCTCCCCTTCCTTTTCCTCTTCTCGTTGGGGGCTCGGGGGGGTGCCGCTGGGGTGCCGGCGCGCGGGGGGGCCGCCCGGCCGGCGCGTGGCCGAGTTCCGGCCGAACTCGGCCACGCGGGGCGCGGACGCTAGCGCCCCGACGGTGCCGCAGAGGATGGTCGCCTCCTCCCCCCCGCCCCTCACCTCCACGCTTTCCTTCGCTTGGGGAGCCCGGGGTGGGAGATGGTGCTGTGGGAGGGGGCCGCCCCCCTCGCGGCCACACGGACCCGCGGCTGAGGCGTTGTGGGGGGGCCGGACGCGCCCATCCCACACCCCTTGGCGGACGGGGGCGCCGCGCTCTCCCGTGAAAGGTACCCCCTGGGGCAGCGGCGCCCCCGGCTCCCCAAGGCGCGGGAGCCGAAGGCTCAGGGGGCGGATGTTGTCCCGCGCCGGGGAGTCGCCCGGCCTCTCGGGGACCCCCCGGGGGCCGTCCGGAATAACATAGTCCGAAAAATAGTCCTCCCTCCCTCCCTCCCTCCCTCCTCCTTCCTCCTCCCTCCTCCTCCTCCCTCCTCCCTCCTCCCACCTTCCTCCTTCCCTCCTCCCCTGCCTCATCCCTCCCCCTCCTCCCTCCTCCCACCATCCCCCTCCTCCTCCCTCCTCCTCCCCGTCTCCCACCTCCTCCCTCCTCCTCCTCCTCCTCCTCCTCCTCCTCCTCCTCCCTCCTCCTCCTCCTCCTCCTCCTCCTCCTCCTCCTCCTCCTCCTCCTCCTCCTCCTCCTCCTCCTCCTCTCGGGGCAGCTGGGGGCGCCGTGGGCAGACCCGCGCGCGATTGGGGGCGGCGCAGCGCGAGCGGGCCCGCGCGGCGTGGCGGGGCACGGCCGAGGCCGCGTCGACGCCCCTGGCGTCGCGCGGCGGCAGGGGCCGTGGAGCCGGCCCCGTGGCAGTTTTAGGCCGCGGTGGCGGAGGCGAGGGCCACGGAGTCAACCAGGACGCGGGCGCTGGCACTGCCAGGGCACGGGCGCTGGTGGCGCTGTCGCTGGTGGAGGCCTGCAGTAATTGCTTCATCGGCGTGCGCGACTGGGGGCGCCGTCGAGAAGGCCTGCGACTTCTGCGGGGGGGGGCCGCTGTTTCCAGGGGCGGTCGGGGTCCTGAGGCTCGGCCCAGTCGAGCAATGCTTGTACGAGGAGTGCAGCCTGGATCCGAAGGGGGCGGCCGGGTCCGACGAGAAGGTGAGCTTCTCGACCGGCGTCGTCGAGTCGGAGGCGAAGCTGGCACAGCTCGCGTGCTCGAGCGGCAGGCGGAGTCGGCCGAGGAGGTGGGGGAGGGGCGCGTGGGGGATCAAATGCTGCCTTTTCGCAGGTTGTCCCCCTCGCCAGTTTCTCGAATGGCGCCGCCAAGTCGGATGCGAAGTTGGCGCAGCAGCACGAGTGCGCGAACGGTAAGCAGTTGAAGGTGCTGGCGGTGACTGCCGAGGAGGTGAACTTCTCGGATGGCGTCGCTGAGTCGGAGGCGAAGTTGGCGCAGTTCGAGGGCGTGAGCGGCAAGCAGCTGAAGGTGCTGGCGGAGTCGGCTGAGGAGACGAGCTTCTCGGATGACGCTGCCAAGTCGGAGGAGACGCTGGCGCAGCCCGAGGGCAGTGGCGCTGGCTCGTCGGGGGACCGCTTCGATCAGGCGGCCGTGAAGCTCCAGCAGCAGGGCCTCGTCCAGTCGCTCTTGGTGGGCCTTGAGATCGGGGCCTTGTCGGAGGCGGCCCAGGTCATCCAGACCGCCGTGCAGCGGGTGCTGGGCGGCACCCCCGCGGAGTTGCGGGGGGGGAGGTCGTCGACGGGCTCCTCATGGAGGAGGAGTCGGGCAGTGGCTCGGCAGGGTTCGGGATCGTGATCGATGAGTTGGTGGTCTGAGTTTCGGGGCCCTGGGGAGGGCGGTCCTTCCCTGGTGCTGCCTCTGGGATCGGCCTTGTCTGCGCGTGGGGGGAGGCGGGAACCCAGGGGGCGCCTTGGGCGCGGTCTGCGGTTTGCAGGCGCCGGGGGGGGACCGCCCTCCCCTCGCGGGTAGCGAGGGAGCTTGCTCGATTTTGTAAGCTAATTACCCTGATGCACCCTTCTTCCTCCTTCCTCCTCCTTCCTCCTCCTCCTCTTTCCTCCTTCTCCTTCTCCTTCCTCCTCCTCCTCGTCCTCCTCCTCCCCTTCCTCCGTTCATTTTCGTTATGAATGACCCCGAGGCCAGTCGGAAGGGCGGGCCAGGCGTTTCGCTTGGGACCTTCTTACCAGTTATGAGCTTGGAATTCAAAAGCTGACAGCAGTTTCACAGCTGGAGGGCGGGTGGTTTTCAAAATGTGACTCTTGCCTCAGCGCCGCGCGCATTCGTTTGAACAGTTTGCAGGGCTTCACGGATCGAGGGCGGGTCGTTTTCATAATGTGGCTCTCGCCTTGGGCCACACGCTCTCGGCTTAAACATGTGCAAGGGTTTCACGGATTGACGGCGGGTTGGTTTCAAAATGGCATTCTCGCCTTGGTGCCGCGCGCATTCGCTTGAAGCATTTGCAAGAGTTTCGCGATTGAGGACGGGCCGTTTTCAAAATGTGGCTCTCGCTTTAGCGCCGCGCGCATTTGATTCAACAATCTGTAAGAGTTTCACAGTCTGAGGGCGGTTCCTTTTCAAAATGGGGCTCCTCTTTTTGGTGACGCACACATTCGTTGTAACAAGTTGGAATCGTTTTTTCTTGTATTTTCAGGGCGAGCGTACCATAACTGATGTTTTGGAACGATTCAGCATTGCAAGGGCGAAACAGTTACGTTGACTCGCGGTGTTGAAATCCCAGGAAGGGTATTCTGGCGCGATTCAGGGTTGTCAAGTCGCAGCAGTCAGGTTGACACGCGGCGTTAGGTCCTGAGAAGGGGTTTGTGGAACGCTTCAGGAATCACCCGGTTGTCCTCCGGGCGCTTCCCTCAGTGGAAATGACCCCTTGTAGGGGCCTACGAGGAGGGAGCTTGGAGGAAGGATGTATTCCAACATCGTTGATGGGCCTCAGGTTTGCACTGGTCTTACTCCTCCTCCTCTTCCTCTTTCGTCGCTCCCTCCTTCCCTCCTTCCCTCCTTCCCTCCTCTCTCCCTCCCTCCCTCCCTCCCTCCCTCCCTCCTTCTGGAACAGGAGAAGGAGGATGAGGTCCTAGAGGGGGAGATGGATGAGCAGCATCAGCGGGCGGACGAGGACGAAGATGAGGTCGAGGACGCAGCAGCAGAAGCACGCATCAGCAGCCAGGGCGGAGGTTGTCGGCGCGGACGCAGGGGGATAACGCGATTGGGGGGGGCGGGTGGTGGCCCTCCAAGAGCGGCGGGGGTGCTTCCAAGAGAGCAGGGGGTTCCGGACTCCCCCCCCCCCGGGCCCCTTGGAAGCCTTCTTGGGCGCCCCCCCGGGCCCTTCGAAGGCACATGCCTTCCAAGACCCCCCCGTCGCCTCCAGAGGCCGCCCCCCTCGTGCGCGCCGCCTCGACGGCGCGGTGCATGCTCGCCTTCCCTCCCAGCGGCGTGTGCTGGGTCAACCAAGCCTGCAGGGTGGGCCCTTTTCATTTTTCCGTGCACTTCAGCTCTGGCGTCGGCCTGAGCTGTGGGGGCCCTGAATTGTGCCTTCGGGCCAGCTTGCCCGAGTCGGTTTTTTGCTCGCACGGGTGCTCTTGCTCTCCTCCCTCCCAGACCCCGACGTCGTGCTTTTTCCATGGCGTCCACGCCCAGAGGTCCAGACCCACTCCTCGGGGCCAGTTTTTTATCCTGAAGCGGTTTTTGACGGCTCCGACGCCCGGTGAGGCCCCCCCCCCCCAGAGACGGAAAAGAACCGAACTGGAAATGACGAGGGCGGCCTCGGAGGGGGAGCGCGGGGGGAGGAGGAGGAGGAGGAAGAGGAGGAGAAGGAGGAGGAGGAGGAGGAGGAGGAGGAGGAGGAGGAGGAGGAGGAGGAGGAGGATGAGGAACGGAAGGAGGAGGAGCAGAGGAGGAGCAGGAGGTGAGGAGGAGGAGCAGGAGGAGAAGCAGGAGGAGGAGGAGGAGCAGGAGGAGCAGGATGGAGGAGCAGGAGGAAGGAGGAGGAGGAGAAGGAGGAGGAGGAGGAGGGGGAGGGATGGGGAGGAGGAGGTAGGAGGAGGAGGAGGCAGGAGAGGAGGAGGAGGAGGAGGAGGAGGAGGACAAGGAGATGGACAAGGAGGAGGAGGACACTGAGATGGGGGGAGGAGGAATGCCCCTCGAAGCCCGAAGGAAGCAGCCTACATCTCATGGCGCCCACATCGCCGAGCGGACTTCGTTCGGAAAACGATGGGGTGGGCTCGGGGTGTCCTGGATAATTTCGTTCCGGATTTCGAGGTGAATTTCGTGCGTTTTTTTGGCCAGGAATGACGACCCAAAAACATCGACGCGAAACTCACTTCGTATTTCGCTCGCCGCTTGGGGCAAACATCCACGCAGAAATCCACGCATGAATCCGCTGCAGCACGTCTGCAAGGCCGGTGCAATGATACATCCCTCTTGTCGCCATGGCCGCCTCCGCCTCGAAGTTCTGGCGAGAGCCGCGCGAACAGCCGCAACAGATCGGGCTCAGCGGGGGCGCGGGGCTCCTTGCAGCAAGCAGCAGCCAGGCGTTAGGGACTCCCCCTCCCTGAGGTAGTAGAAGCCTCCCAGATGGGGTCCAAGCAGATGGGGTCCTCAGTATTGTTTACCCGACGCCTATCCCCATCCCCATCTCGAGCCCGACGATCTCAGCACCCCGATTGGGGATATGCCCCTCGAAGCCCGAAGGGAACGGCCTACTTCCTTATTTACGGGGGTAAATCGGCCAGTGGGGCCCAGGCCACCCAGGTGGGGATAGGGGTCGTTTTAACGGTGCTTCTGTCGGAGGATCTCGCCGCATCGCCGATGCATCGGCGATGCGGCTCGATGTGGAGCCCGATTCTCTCCGCGCCGACGGCGCCGATGCTTTGCAGATGCATCGGCGATGCGTCGTGATCTTCCGACCCCATCTACTCGAACCCCATCTAGGAGGCTTCTATTATCTCAGGGAGTGAGGGCCCCTGACGCCTGGCTGCTGCTTTCTGCAAGGAGCCCTGCGCCCCCGCTGAGCCCGATTTGTTGCAGCTAAGCGCATGGCTCTCGCCAGAATTTCGAGGTGGAGGCGCCCTTTCGACAAGGATGCTCGAGCGGGTCCAGCAGAAGCCCCAGATCGGCCGAAATCCATTGCTGAGTGCTTCTCTTGGGTCGGACTGAAGGAGCGGGCTCAGGAAAGAGGGGGTCATTTCTTCGATGCATCGGTCTCCCGCGCAAGGAGGCGGTGGAGGCCCAGGGGAATCAGCTAATTACGCGAGCTGATTCGCTAACCTCCCTTTGCTATCCCCCTTTATCCCGACCCGACAATCGACTGCTGACTGCCTCTCAAGACGAGCCCAGTCTGATCCCAAACTCCTCCTCCTCCTCCTCCTCCTCCTCCTGGATCCTCGATCCTCCTTCCCTTCTCTTCCCGAGGAGGAGGAAGAGGAGGAGGAGGCGGAGGAGGAGGAGGAGGAGGAGGAGGAGGAGGAGGAGGAGGAGGAGCAGTGGAAGGAGGAGGAGGAGGAGGAGGAAGGGAGGAGCGAGGAGGAGGGTGAGGAGGCAGGGAGAAAGGAGGGAGGGAGGAGGGGAGGGGATGAGGAGGAGGGGAGGAAGGGAGGAGTGGAGGGAAGGAGGAGGGGAAGAATGGGGAGAAGGGGGAAGGTTGCGTAGGATTTGCCTGGCGGTTGGAGCCAAAACAAGAAGTAACACACACTAACCGGTGCGGCGCATGGAGGTTAGGTCTGGCGGATGGGGGAGGGCGAAGTGGGCGGGGAGTATTGTTTCTCCGGTAATGCTTCTGTCTGGCTGAGTGAGGCCGTCTTCACCTGCTTGTCTTCATGCTTTGCGCCTTCTTATGTCTTGCTGCTCTTCTTTCTTCACTCTCCTGCCCTCCTTCCGAGTCGTACCACCACCACCACCACCACTCTACTACCTACAACCCCTCCACCACCTCCACCACCACCACCTCCACTGATCGAACAAAAAAAAAAATCAAAAAACCACAAAATCACCCTCGCACCACATAAAAAAAAAAACCCTCGAGGCCCCTGGAACCCTCAACCACCGCCACCCTCCAAAAAACCCAAAACCCTCTCTCCCCCGACCCATAACTCACCCCATCCCCCGAGCCCCCGCCGCCCCCAGCAGCTCCTCCGGCGGCCAGACGGTGCCGCCGCCGCCTCTGCTTGCGAAGGGCCCGCACCACGGCGCCCCGGAGGCGGACGCGGCGAGGCCCCTCCCCCCCCTGCGGCATCCGAGCGCTGTGCTGCCCTGGCCGCCAGCGCGGGCAACTCCTCCTCCTCCTCCTCCTCCTCCTCCTCCTCCTTCTCCTTCTCCTCGTCCTCCTCCTCTACCTCTTCTATCTCCTCTACTCTCTCCTACCTCCTCGGACCCTCTACTCTCTACCTCCTCTACCCTCTTCTACCAGCATACAACTTACCATAATCCTCCTTCCCTCCTCCTTCCCTAAGTCTCCACCTTCACCCTAACCTCCTCCTCCTCCTCCTCCTCCTCCTCCTCCTCCTCCTCCTCCTCCTCCTCCTCCTCCTCCTCCTCCTCCTAGGAGGCGACGACATCGGGGCTCGAGGGACAGGGGTCAATGCAAGCAGGGGTCAGCCAGAGCACTGGAGCTTGCGGGATCCTGCAAAACCAGGTGTTCACTGACCCAGGATAGCGCGCAGGATCCTGCAGGATACTGCGAGGCCCGACTGAACCACCACCAGCACCACCAGCAGTAAGCCGAGCATCCAGCGGGACGCATGTGCAGAAGAGGGCGCGATTGGCCCGATTGAACTGGGTTTGTATTCACTCGGGTCAGTGCGTCCCCGAGACGACGCTCGTGCGGTAGCAGATCATGGAAAGTGTCGCACGGTTGGCATGCGCAGCTTGCTGAAGCCGCCGAGATGGCGCCGGTGCAGCCGGCCGGGGCCCTGCAGGGTAGTTTCGCCGAGGTCGAGACCCCAGTTCCGCAACAGCAGATTTGGGGTCGACACCGTTTTTGGATCTTGGGTTCCAGAGGCGCGGCACTAGTGGGAGCCGTGTGTCCTGGTAGTTTCCGTCGTTGGCGTGCATTAGCGTGCGCTAGCGTCTGGTCATCGATATGAGAGCGCCGACTCAGCGTCGATGGGCGTCGACTTAGCGTCGAGTCGACTAGCTTCGATTATGATTCGATCCGCAAGAGCAAACAAGATGGTATGACAGGCTCCCATAAGTTGCCGCATAACCATTGGAGTATCTTTGTAGCACCCCACAGTTGCTGATAGGAGTGAGGGCGTGGGTGCGGGGTGGGTCGCGGGTCGGGTCGGGGGGCGGGTCGCGGGATGGGTCGCGGGCTGGGTCGCGGGGCGTGTCGCGGTGAGACGACGACAACAACGACGCAGTAACAATCCACACCGCGGAACCCCAGACTTCAGCCACGCGGAACCTCACAAGGGACGGTGAATGACCGTTCGGCCCCCCCCACTCTGGAGACAGACACCGATGCCGCCGCTCGTCCTGGAGAGCCCCGAGATCTTCATCGACGTGACTTTTCCAAGCGGCATTCTGTCTTCGATTTTGGTTCGGGACCCGTTGCCGTGCCCCAGGGCCATCAAGAGCGGATCTGGGGTTAAGTCGGGCATGTCTCCCTACAGGAGGAGCATTGAATGTTCAAGAATTGGGAAAATAATCAGGGGACGATTCGTCGTGATCTGCTGACAATGTTTGATGGTTCCCAACCCTCCCTTGGCTCCCGTTTTGAAGAGAGCAGTGGTGTCGCCAGCTCCCTGGTCCTTCTCCTCCCGCCCTCTGTCCCCCTCTCATGAAGCGAAGCTGTCGCCACTTTCGAGGGCTGCCGGGGGGAGCCCGCACAGCGGGGCCCCACGCGGACGCAAAGGGGACCCCGCCATCCCTGGGGGGCTGCGGAGTGTGAAACTGTTGCCATTTTCGAGGGCTGCTGAAGGAGCCCGCACAGCGGGGTTCCACGCGGACCCAAAGGGGACCGCGCCATCCCTGAGGGGCTGCGAAGTGTGAAACTGTTGCAATCTTCGATGGGGTTGGGGGAGCCCGCACAGCGGGGCCCCACGCGGACCCAAACGAGACCTCGCCTTCCAGGGGGGCTGCGAAGTGTGAAACCGTCGCCATTTTTGGGCCTCACGCGGACCCAAACGGGACCTCGCCATCCTTGGGGGGCTGCGAAGTGTGAAACTGTCGCCATTTTCGAGGGCTGCTGGGTGAGCCCGCACAGTGGGGCCCCACGCGGAAACAAACGGGACCTCGCCATTCTTGTGGGGCTGCGAAGTGTGAAACTGTCGCCACTTTCGAGGGCTGCCGGGGGGAGCCCGCACAGCGGGGTCCCACGCGGACCCAAACGGGACCTCGCCATCCTTGGCGGACTGCGATGTGTGAATCTGTCGCGATTTTCGAGGGGTGGAGGATGAGCAGGAGGAGGAGGAGGAGGAGGAGGAGGAGGAGGAGGAGGAGGAGGAGGAGGAGGGGAGGAGGAGGGGAGGAGGAGGGAGGAGGAGGAGGAGGAGGAGGAGGCGGGCCTACGGCCCCTGGCGGGCCGCGAGGCCGAAAGACGACCGATGGGGGACCTCGGGGGTCCGGGGCCCGCTTTCTTCAAGGCGCGCTTCCGCCGTGGCGAAGGACACGCAGGCCCGAGCGACGACGAGAGCGGCCGCCGGAGACGGGCGGAGGCAGGGCGGGGGACGGCGGCGACGACGGCGACAGAGGGGGAGGACCACCCGCCTGGCTCAGGTCGGACGACGGGCCGGGGAAGGAACGAGGGGGTCGCAGAGCCTGCCGCGCGCAGCCGGTTTCGGTCGCCCCGCCGAGGGGCCAGTCCTCGGCGCATGGCCGCTTTCGGCGCCGGGAGGTGCCTGGAACGTCGGCGACGTGAGCTGCTCGGCAAATCCCCCCCCGTTGCTGCGCCCCACTTTCGTCCAGCCCGCCTTGCCCGCAGGCCCGCATCGGTTGGACAGAAAGAGGGCTCGCTCTCGCCTCCACCCCCACCCTGCCCCTCGTCAGCGGCCGGGCGTCGGCGCTAATCACCAGCGCCGCCCCGTTGATTTTCAATCTGGCGGGCGCCTCCCCGCGATTCGCCCAAGCAGGGGGATTTATCAAAAAGAAGAAAACAAAAACGCGCCCCCCACGGATTTGTTCTCCACAAGCTGACATTGTAAACGGGACCTCGCCATCCCTGGGGGATTGCGAAGTGTGAGACCGTCGTCTCTTTTGAGGGCTGGTGGGGGAGCCCGCACAGTGGGGTTCCATGCGCAACCAAATTGGACCCCGCCATCCCTGAGGAGCTGCGGAGTGTGAGAACTTTCGCCGCTTTCGAGGGCTGCTGGGGGAGCCCGCACAGCGGGGCCCCACGCGGACCCAGACGACCTCGCCTTCCAGGAGGGCTGCGAAGTGTAAAATTGTCGCCGTTTTGGGGCCCCACGCGGGCCCAAACCGCACCTCTCCATCCGTGGGGGGCGGCGAAGTATAAAAATTGTCGCCGCTTTCGAGGGCTGCTGGGGGAACCCGCACACCAGGGCTCCACGCGGACCCAAACGGGACCTCGCCATCCCTGGGGGGCTGCGAAATTTGAAAGTATCGTGATTTTCGAGGGCTGCCAGGGGAGCCCGCACAGCGGGACAGCGGGGTCCCACGCGGACCCAAACGTGACCAACCCAGCTCTGGGGGGCTGCGAGGTGTGAAACCGTCGCCACTTTCGAGGGCTGCTGGGGGAGCCCGCGCAGCGGGGTTCCGCGCACATCCAAACGGGACCTCGCCGTTCCTGGGGGGCCGTGGCGTTGGAAACTATCGCCATTTTCGAGGGCTGTTGGGGGAACCCGCGCAGTGTGGCCCCACGTGGACCCGAACGGGACCTCGCCATCCCTGGGGGGTTGCGAACTATGAAATTGTCGCTACTTTCGAGGGCTGCATGGGGGGCGCGGGGCCCCACGCACATCAAAACGGGACCCCGCCATCCTTGAGGGGGGCTGTGAAGTGTCGCGTTGTCGCCAGTGTCGATGGCTGCTGGGGGAGCCCGCATACCGGGGCCCCACGCGGACCCAAACGATCCCTGGGGGGCTGCGAACAGTGAAATTGTTGCCACTTTCGAGGGCTGCTGGGGGAGCCCGCACAGTGGTGTTCCACGCACATCCAGACGGGACCCCGCCATCCGTAGGGGGCTGCGAAGCGTGAAATTGTCGCCACTTTCGAGGTCTGCCAGGGGAGCCCGCACAATGGGGTCCCACGCGGACCCTAACGGGACCAACCCATCCCTGGGGGGCTGCAAAGTGTGAAACCGTCGCCACTTGGGCTGCTGGGGGAGCCCGCGCACCAGGGCCCTACGCGGACCCAAACGGGACCTCGCCATCCTTGGGGGGCTGCGACGTGTGAGTGTGTCGCCACTTTCGAGGGCTGTTGGAGGAGTCCGCGCAGTGTGGCCCCACGTAGACCCAAACTGGATCTCGCCATCCCTGAGGGGTTGCGAAGTGTGAAACTGTCGCCACTCTCCAGGGCTGCTGGGGGAGGTTAAGCACAGTGGGGCCCCACGTGGATTCAAACATGACCTCGCCATCCCTGGGGTCTGCGAAGTGTGAAACCGTCCCCACTTTCGAGGGCTGCTGGGGGAGCCCGCACAGCGGGCTTCCACGCACATCCAAGCTGGACCCCGCCATCCCTGAGGGGCTGCGAAGTGTGAACGTTGCCGCCGCTTTCGAGGGCTGCCGGGAGAGCCAACGCAGTGGGCCCCAACGCAGATCCAAACGGGTCTTCGCCTTTTTCGGGGGGGGGTCTGCGAAATGTTAAACTGTCGCCACTTTTGAGGGCTGCTGGTGGGGCCAACGCAGTGGGCCCCAACGCAGATCCAAACGGGTCCTCGCCTTCTTCGGGGGGGCTCTGCGAAGTGTTAAACTGTCACCATTTTTAAGGGCTGCTGGTGGGGCCAACGCAGTGGGGTGCCACGTATATCCAAACGTGACCAACCTATCCCTGGGAGGCTGAAGTGTGAAACAGTCGCCACATTAGAGGGCTGTTGGGCGGGGCAGCACAGTGGGGTCCCGCGCAGATCCAATCGGGACCTCGCCATCACTTGGGGGCCGCGAAGTGTGAATCTGTCGCCTTTTTCTAGGGCTGGCGGCGCGCCTGCGCGCGTTTGGTGCTCGCACTAGGAAGTGCAGGGAGGAAGCGGAGAGGCTGGCGGGCGAGCTATGCCTTGACTCCTTTTTGCACTAGTAACAGTAACTTTTAATTTTCCGAGGGGCTGCAGCAACGCGGAACGCTGACCGCGCAGGTGTTGAGCATTTCGCCATGGACAAAACGCGACGCCTCATTGGGTGATTGCGTCTCCGCCTGGGTAAGCTTGTCTTGCCCATGCTCCATCATTTCGCTGCTTCTGCCGAGGTGATTGTTCTTCAGCCCCGATGTCTTCCTTTTGCTTCCCCTTCCCAGTGCAACAGTGCACTGCCTCCTGGCCTTTTGTGCCTTTGTTCCGCGCGTCGGCCACGCACACTTCGCACGATATAGATATCCGCCGTGCACCATCCAATGCAGTGTTGCTGTCGCGCTATGGTCGGCACACCTTATACCAGCCCTTGGTGCCGATGGGTTGGGTACGTCGCAGGATAGCTTTTCTTTCAAAGCCTGCCAGTGGGAGGACGTGCCCAGCCTCAGTCTGGGGCAAAGGTGTGGCCCCAGGGACGGGGTCGGAACCCCTGAGGCCGCGATGTGGTCTAACAGGATATCGGCGCTTCGGTGCCCGCGTCACCACGGCTGCAGTTACTGGTCAGTGCGCACCCTGGGACAGCTCCTGGGGGCAGCGGCATCGACACCTTGTGCCCCCCCCATCCAGTCGGACCGAGGTATGGAATCGAGGTCGGCTCGGGGAGAGTGCCCAGATCTTCTTCGTGTTTGTTGGTCCTGTGCATCTTGGGGAGGGCACCCTTGGCTGTTCTATGTGTTTTGGACGGCGGGATGTCTCATGGTCTTGGTGAATGTTCTGCTGGCTTGGGTCCGATTGTACTTTTTGGACCCCCCATACGTCGGCGACGGCGGCAACGTCGTCTCTGAGGCTGTGGGTACTTCTGGGGGGGATTCGTCGCTACGGCTTGAGGCATATCGCAAACCTGCCCACGAGTGGCCGCGGAAGGTGTGGTTTCAGAGGGCAGGTCTTGAGCGTTAAATTTCTGGGGGGCGAGGGCCGGGATCCAGACGAGGATCGAGGATCTCCACGCTGGTGCCTTTTGGCTGGGCCCCCAGGCGGCCAGTGAGGTAGTTCCTGGGTTCGGCGCAGCTCGGCGGACGAGCCGGCCCTCGACCCCAGGAAATGTTGGGGGCCAGATCTTGCACCCATTTTGGCGAGGCTCTCGCTCAAGGGGAACTTGCAGGCCCAGGGGCGGGGGGAAGCATTGACCCACCCATCGCCCATTCACCGCCTCTCGGGGCCTGGGCTTCCTTTCCCACCCTGCAACGTGCGGTTTCGCTATCGAGGGCCTCTCGCCGATCTACCGGGCATGCATCGCCGACTCTGAGTCAATGGGCCCCCGCTGCGCCAGCCCCCCCTCCCCCTCGTCGTGCATCCTCGTTATCGGGGTCGGCTGCGCGGGTATCTCCGCGTGCGAGCTGTGTGTTGCCGCGACAGGTCGCGCGCAGACGCCACTGGCCTCCTCTCCGATGCTTCGCAGGTTTTGCCAGGCAGCAATTCGTTTCCACTGCAGCCCAGTGCAAGCTTGACCGTTCCGGGTCCGCGCTCCGAAGCCGCCGACAGAAATGTGCTGCAAGGCAGTGCGCCTGCTGACCCTTGCCTTTCACATCCGGCTTGCCCGTGCATGGCCGTCAGCCTACCCGAACGCCGAAAACCGTGATGCGCCTGCGGCGCGCGAAAAACGGATAGGTAGACATGTTCAATCTGAAGAGAGAAGCGTGTCGACACAAATACATACCTTGCCTCGTTTTCCACATGTTTGGGCTTCCCGGGGTTCCCTCGTCGCCTCGGCCAGATTCGCCCCAGAGTCCTGGTCAGAACGCGCCCCTTTAGAGGTCTGGAGATTGTCGGTGTCTGTGTCGTTAAGTTACCCAACGGAAGATCCGCAGTGCAACCCGGGGGAGGTAGGTATGCATGGATGTAGCAGTTGTTCGCGTAGTGCCCGTCGGATCGTATATCAATGTTGGTGCTGCGGTGGAATCAAAACCGTTCGATTTGCAGATCCAATGCGTATTGCCATCGCTACCGTTCGAATGTGTTTGTGCCAGTACGTACGACTCGTCATGCCGACAACCAACAGCCAGCAGCGCTGAATCCCTGGAGACATCGATCGGGTCGACGGTAGACTCTGCTGCTCCACCCAGTGAGTGCGTACACGAAATGTGGGTGCGGTGCATGCGTGGCCTTCTTGCTCGGTTGGGCGGGGGCAGCACTGGGACTTCCAGCAGGGGTCCGGCCTTCGGCGCGCCCTGCCCTCGACGGAAGCCAGAGGAAGCAGGCAATTGCCGCGGGCCCGCCGGCGGACATCTTCGACACCACCACCACCTGGCACCCACCTCCCCAGACTTCTGCCCCTGCAATCTAAAACACCCCAGACTTCTGCCCCACCTGGGCGCTGCCCACCTCCCCAGACTTCTCTGCCCCACCTGGGCGCTGCCCAGCGCCCTGGGACGCCAGCGCCCAGGGTGGTGTCGGCCACTCCGGGAACGCGCGGCATGGCTACACTTCGACCCGACGCCAGATCTGCGGGTAGCGAGCCCCCTTCTCTGAGCACCCAGCTCCCTTGCCATCTATCTTCCCGGCGCTCGGGCGCCACCCCGCGCAGCGCCCGCGCGGCGCGATCGACAGCGCGTGGCCACCGCCACCGCCGCCGCCGGCGGAAGCTTGCGGACTATCGGTGGAAGGCGGCGACCGAGAAAGCGGAACGTCAACATGTTTAGATTCATAGGTTTCCGGAGTGGACCATTTGTGTTCCGCGCGTTGATTCGGCATCTCGTCTCGAAAGAGAAATGGAAAGGACGAACGTCACACCGCCTTCGAGCTGGCGCTCGGTACGCCAATGGCCTTCTCCGCCTCCTGCTCTGCTTTCCCTGACGTTTCATCTTTGGGGGGCCGTGCCTGTCCTGCTGATTATGGTCTTTTCTTTACCCGATGTGGATCCGCGGATTCGATTTGTTCGACATGGTTTCGACGCGGATTCGACATGGATATTTGGAGTGTCAAGGCAGAGCAGGTTCCCCGAAGATGCAACGCATCTTCCTTCTCCCCTTCCCTTCCTCCCTCCGAGTTTCCTTCTTCCTCTCTCCCACGACTTGGCCTCGTCCGTGCGGTCTGGACCACAAGCCCCAGGCCATTCGCGCCATCGGGCCACCGTGCCCTCCAGGGTGGAGACTCCAGGAGACCTGGGCCCACTCACGGGGTCAAGGCCGCCCCAGAGCAATGCCTCCTCAATCTATATGTATATGTACATGTATATGTATATGTACATGCATATGTCTATGTATGTGTATATGTTCATGCTCATGTACATGTATACGTATATGTATATGTATATGTGTATGTATAGGTATATGTATATGTATAGGTATTTGTATACGTATATGTATGTGTGTATATGTATATGTATATGTGTATATACATGTATATGTATACGTATCTATGTATGTATGTATGCATGTATGCATATATGCATGTATGCATACATGCATGTATGTATGTATGTATGTATGTATGTATGTATGTATGTTTGCTTATATGTATGCATGCATGCATGCATGTATGTATTTATGCATGCATGCATGTATGCATGTATGCATGTATGCATGTATGCATGTATGCATGTATGCATGTATGCATGTATGCATGTATGTAGGTATGTATGTATGCACGCATGCATGTATGTATGTATGTATGTATGTATGTATGTATGCATGTATTTATGTATGTATGTATGTATGCATGTATGTATGCATGCATGCATGCATGCATGCATGTATGTATGTAGTGTATGTAATGTATGTAATATATGTATGTATGCATGCATGCATGCATGCATGTATTGTATTGTATTGTATTGTATTGTATTGTATTGTATTGTATTGTATTGTATTGTATTGTATTGTATTGTATTGTATGTATGTATGTATGCATGTAGGTAGGTAGGTAGGTAGGTAGGTATATATGTATGTATGCATGTATGAATGCATGCATGCATGTATGTATGTATGCTTGTATGCTTGTATGCATATATATATATATATATATATATATATATATATATATATATAGATATCCATATTTACACACATGTGCATGTACACGCCTATCTGTATATATATACACATCTATGTCTACATGTGTAGGTACGAGATGCAAAATGCAAGGGCGCTCGGCGGCGCTCGCGACGACGGCGCGGTCGACCGAGAGCTCCGCCCAGCGCGGCGCGCCTTCTCAGAAGGCGGAAGTTCCCCAGCCTTCGGAGAACTTTTCTGAAACTTCCCCGAAGACGCAGAAAACTGCCCAGAAGGCCGCAGGGCTTCTGAGAAGTCACGCCGCCTCCTGAGAGGGCCTTTTCCTTTTCTCTGAGGACGCCAAAAGGTCATGATACCTCTGCTCCCCGGACCTCTCCCAGGGCGCGTTCTGACCAGAATTTCGAGGCAGCTCCAGCGGTGGCGACGAGGGCCTCCCAGGAGGCCCCCCACATGTCAAAACGGGGGCAAGGCAGCGCCATGGGTGTAACCTTTCCTCCTCTGACCTTCCCCCCCTCGCTAGCCGCCGGTTGGCCCCCGCCGCCCTCCCCGCCGCCCCCAGCAGCTCGTCGAGCGGGAGGCCGTCCGTGCTGACCCCGCCAGCGCTGCGCGCGGCCGCTGGCGCGGGCGCCCTGGGCGCGGACGGGGCGTCGTCCTTCCGCACCAGGCTCGCGGGGGCCTCGCCTCCGGCCGGCGACGGCGCCGCCGGCAGCGTCCATCCCAGATTTCCCATTTTTTTTGTATTTATTTTTTTTATTTGTTGGGGGTATGTTTTGGTTGGTATGTATATAAATATTAGGTTCAAGTATGTTATGTAAACAGACATATGTATAACATTTTGTTGTTGTTGCTGTTGTTGTTCTTGTTGAACTCTCATTTCTGAAGAATGATTATTGTTGATCCCCCCCGTCCGGTGCACATTTCCCCCCCCCCCCCACATGTTTCGTGGGGTTCTAGTTTTCTTCCCTGCCGCGCCGCAGCCGCGTCTCACACCTCCCTCCTCCCCTTCTCCTTCTCGCTTGCACACGGCAGGCGTGGCACTTTCTCGACACCACAGGGGGTGCGCAGGGGGTGGTCCCTGAGCTCGGCTGCTATGCACGATGGTCGTCCAGGCACAGCAGGCGTGGCACTTTCTCGACACCATAGGGGGTGCGCAGAGGGGTGGTCCCTGAGCTGGGCCGCTATGCACGACGGTCGTCCAGGCACAGCAGGCTTGGCACTTTCTCGACACCACAGGGGGTGCGCAGGGGGTGGTCCCTGAGCGCGGTCGCTATGCACGACGGTCGTCCAGGCATAGCAGGCGTGGCACTTTCTCGACACCACAGGGGGTGCGCAGGGGGTGGTCGCTGAGCTCGGCCGCTATGCACGACGGTCGTCCAGGCATAGCAGGCGTGGCACTTTCTCGACACCACAGGGGGTGCGCAGGGGGTGGTCCCTGAGCTCGGCTGCTATGCACGACGGTCGTCCAGGCACAGCAGGCGTGGCACTGTCACCAGAGGGGGTGCGCAGGGGGTGGTCCCTGAGCTCGGCCGCTATGCACGACGGTCGTCCAGTAGCATGCGTGGCACTTTCTCGACACCACAGGGGGTGCGTTGGTCCCTGAGCGCGGCCGCTATGCGCGACGGTCGTCCAGGCACAGCAGGCGTGGCACTTTCTCGACACCAGAGGGGGTGCGCAGGGGGTGGTCCCTGAGCTCGGCCGCTATGCACGACGGTCGTCCAGGCATAGCAGGCATGGCACTTTCTCGACACCACAGGGGGTGCGCAGTGGGTGGTCCCTGAGCGCGGTCGCTATGCACGACTGTCGTCCAGGCACAGGAGGCGTGGCACTTTCTCGACACCATAGGGGGTGCGCAGGGGGTGGTCCCTGAGCGCGGCCGCTGTGCACGACGGTCGTCCAGGCACAGCAGGCGTGGCACTTTCTCGACACCATAGGGGGTGCGCAGGGGGTGGTTGAGCGCGGCCGCTATGCACGACGGTCGTCCAGGCATAGCAGGAGTGGCACTTTCTAGACGCCGCTGGGGGGCGGTGGGGGTGGGGGCCTATGCGTTGCAGGCTCCCAGGGCGTGGCAGGCGTGGCATTTCCTCGCCGCTACAGGGGGTGCGCTGGGGGTGGGGGCCCTATGCGTTGCAGGCTCCCAGGGCGTGGCAGGCGTGGCATTTCCTCGACGCCACAGGGGGTGCGCTGGGGGTGGGAACTTGTGTCTTGTCAAGATCTGTAAACACTTTGGCTCAAGCTGGCTCGGCGCGCCTGCGCTGTCACGCAGGCGCGCTCCTGTAGTCCTACTTCAGAGCACCGCCCGACCTGCGCGGCAGCCATGCTTCCCAAAATCGCCGTGGATGCGCTGCCACCTCCATGTTTGGCGATGGAGATTGCAATGGTTCAGATGTGCGGCGAGGGTCTGCGAACACACGCGACTTAAACTATGTATGTGGGGTTCCTCGGTCGCGTTTTTTTTTTTTTTTTTTTTTTTTTTTTTTTTTTTTTTTTCGATTTCAGTGCCCTTCCTGGGGCTCGCACCTGGTTTTTTATAAGGGAAAGTCTCGAGGGTCAAACTGCGTTGTTGGCCCCCGGTTTACAACAACAACGGCCCGCTTGATACTTCCTTACTATTCATTGAAGAATCGCGCTCTCGCTTGGGACTTCCTTGCAATTTACCACCGGATCGCGGCTCCCGTTGGATATTTCCTCACACTTTATTGAAGAATCACGCTCTCGTTGGGGACTTCCTTGCATTTTACCGCCGAATCGCGACTCCCGCATGATACTTCCTTACGATTTGTTCAGATGCCGCTCCTCGACACTCGGGAATGGAGCTCCCGCTACATATTGCTTGGCGGTTCAAGCAGAATTTAGGCTTCAACGACCCGCCCGCTGGACCCGCCCGTCTGGGCCTGCCCGCTCGACCAGCCCGTTAGGGACTGCAGTCGCCGCTCGCTGCCCTTCGCTCGCCTTCGATGCCCCTCGTTGCCCGTGCTGGTTCCGCGATCGCCTTCGCTCGCTGCCCTTCGTGGCCCCGTTGTTGCCCTCAGTGGCCCCGTCGCTGCCCATTGTGGCCCCGCATTATATGCCTTTCGTGGCCCCCGCTCGCAGTCGCCCGTCGTCGCCCCATACGCGTGCCCTTCGTAACCCCGCTGTCGCCCTTCGTGGCCCTCTCGCTGCCCTTCGTGGCCCCTTTGCTGCCCTCAGTGGCCCCGCTGTCGCCCTTTGTGGCCTCATATACGAATGCCCTTCGTGGCCCCCGTTCGTTCGCGCCCGTCGTGGCCCCATATGCATGCCCTTCGTGGTCCCGCTGTCGCCCTTCGTGGCCCCCTCTCTGACCTTTGTGGCCCCGTTTCTGCCCTCAGCGGCCCCGTCGCTGACCTCTGTGGCCCCGGATTAATTGCCCTTCGTGGCCTCCGCTCGCTCGCGCCCTTCGTGGTCCCATACGCATGCGTTTCGTCGCCCCGCTGTCGCCATTCGTGGCCCCCTCGCTGCCCTTCGTGGCCCATTTTCTGCGCTCAGTGGTCTCGCTGTCGCCCTTTCTGGCGTGATATATGTATGCTTTTCGTGGTCCCCGCTCGTTCGCGCACGTCGTGGCCCCATATGCATGCCCTTCGTGGCCCCGCTGTCGCTTTTCGTGGCCCCCTCTCTGCCCTTCGTGGCCCTGTTTCTGTCCTCACCGGCTCCGACGCTACCCTCTGCGGCCCCCTATACGTATGCCCTTCGTGGCCCCCGCTCGTTCGCGCCCGTCGTGGCCCGCGCCAACAACGGCTCCCGCCTGATATTTCCTTACAATTTATTGAAGAATCGCGCTCTCGCTTGGGCCTTCTACCACCGAATCGCAGCTCCCGCCTGATACTTCCTTACGGTTTATTGGAGAATCGCGCTCTCGCTTTGGACTTCCTCGCAACCATACGCATGCCCTTCGTAGCCCCGCTGTCGCCCTTCGTGGCCCTCTCGCTGCCCTTCGTGGCCCCTTTGCTGCCCTCAGGGACCCCGCTGTCGCCCTTTGCGGCCCCAGATACGAAGGGTTCCACGAAGTTTGTTTTTGACACCAGTTCGCAGCTGTACGTCCCCCTGTGGGGGTATCCACGATATGTTGTTTCAAGGGGGTGGTACATGGCGCTGTGTATGGCGCGACCCATGGCGTTGGAGTGGCTGGCGCAAGCCATGGCGCAAACTGAATCGCCACTCGCAGCGCAAATCATCGTCCTCCCTCCTTCTCGCCCCTCCCCTCCTTTCATCCGATCCTTTCGTCCTCATTCTCCCCCGTTATCTGTTACCTTTCGTTTTCAAGGTCTTCATCAACTACACGTGGCAGGGAATGAATCTACCCCCCAAAAGGGGGCACGATCGAAGACGAAGAGGGCGGGTATCCAGGGTTTGGGATATGCATATTGAATGACACGCGAGCATATAAACGCTAACAGTCTTACAATGATTGTTGTCGTTGTCGTTGATGTTGATGTTGTTGTTGTTGTTGTTGTTGTTGTTGTTGTTGTTGTTGTCATTGTCGTTGTCGTTGTCGTTGTCGTTGTCGTTGTCGTTGTCGTTGTTGTTCTCGTTGTCGTTGTCGTTGTCGTTGTCGTTGTCGTTGTTGTTCTCGTTGTCGTTGTCGTTGTCGTTGTCGTTGTCGTTGTTGCTGTTGTTTCTGCTGCAACCTCCAGGGATGGCGCAAAACGCTTCTCAGAAGGCCCGACCCTTCCCGCTTCCACATGGGCTCGCCGCCGATCCTTGGTTCTGGGCCTCGTGGGCCCTTGTCGGGCCCGGGGCCATCGAGAGTGAGGCTGGGGCGAGGGAGACGGTCGAGAAATTGCAGGGCCGCGGACCGAGAAAGAAAAAAACACATCGGCGGATGTCAGGAAACGTGTGAGGGGTGCGCCGAAATGGGGGTGGAACTGCATGCGGGCCCTGCCACTGAGGCCTTTGGTGGAGCGCCCTATGGGGCCACGAAGCGTGTGAGAGGTGCGCCGAACTGGGGGAGGAACTGCATGCGGACCCTGCCACTGGGGCCTTCGGTGGAGCTCTCTATGCGGCCACGAAGCGTGTGCGGGGTGCGCCGACATGGAGGTGGAACTGCATGCGGACCCTGCCACTGGGGCCTTTGGTGGAGCGCCCTATGGGGCACCGAGCGTGAACATTTTTTTGACATTTTCTATTTGTTGGTCCAAAATCCGCCTGTAGGAGGACATGCCCGGCCTAACACCTGGCTCGGGGGCTGTCAGGACACTGCTTAGAACGAGAAGCTGGTCCCAGGGGGAAAGCCCAGGGCCCAGGACCCGCTTCCCCCAGTGCCGGTTTCCTGCACGGCCGCCGACGACGGACGCCGCCGCCGAGGATTCCAGCTGAGCCACAGACGGAGGGGGCGCCGCATGGTTTTCGGAGGGCTTCGAAGGTTCTGGCCACGGCCAGCCGCCGCCGTCCTCCTCCTCCTCCTCCTCTTCCTCCTCGCTCATGGTATCCTCCTCCTCCTCCTCCTCCTCCTCCTCCTCCTCCTCCTCCTCCTCTTCCTCCCCTCACTCATTTCACCCTCCCCCTCTCCTCCCCCTCTTTCTCCTCCCCCTGACCCTTCCGCCAATGCTCGGAGGCGCCTGCCAGCTGCCGGGGGCGGTTTTCCCGCACGTGTTCTGCATGTTTTCCCAAGGTTTCCCTTCCGTGTCCCTCCGGGGACTCCATGGGACTTCGGAGGGGGGGGTTCGGTTAAGTCGGGCATATCCTTTTACAGGGGGAATATTCAAGAGCAGTAGAAAAATAGCGTGGTGACGATTTGTCGTGCTCTTTGAACTACTCTTGCTTATTTTTTGGGCTATTTTTCACTTTCCATTCAACATCAGCCTGTAGGAGGACATGCCCGACCTAGTTAAGAGTACGGTAGGTTCCTGCGGCGGTGTCGCGCCTGCGACGCCGGCGACGACGTTCAAGGTTGAATTCTGCGACGCGGAAGCACCCAGAGGTACGGTAGCGCCACTGGACCCGACGGAGTTCAACCCTGAACAATCGGGGCCGTGATCGATTCGAGGTCGAACGATCGATGCGGGGTCAAAAACCTTTGCGCGCGTTGACGCCGTACGAACCTACCGCAGGTGTGCGAATTTTTTTTTGAGGATCCTCGAGGCCTTCGGGCCTCTTCCCGCAGGTGTTCGGTGGCTTCTGGTGCGTGCCCCGAACGGCCGCCCGAGGCCTGGGTCCTGACCAGAGGAGGAGGAGGAGGAGGAGGAGGAGGAGGAGGAGGAGGAGGAGGAGGAGGAGGAGGAGGAGGAGGAGGAGGAGGCGCGGAGGCGGAGGCGGGGCGGAGGAGGTTTTGAGCTGGAGGAGGAGGAGGAGGAGGAGGGGGAGGATGAGGAGGAGGACGGAGGAGGAGGAGGAGGAGGAGGAGGAGGAGGAAGACGAGGAAGACGAGGAAGCAGCAGACAATAGCTCAGCTGCTCAGCGGAGGGCTGCACCGATCCTGGCCGGTGGGCACGCCCTCCTGACCAGGTCAGGGGCCTGCCCGCCGAGCCAGGGCCCAAGACTGCCTGCCACTCTCTGCGCAGGCGGGCGCTCGGGCGTCCTCCCGCAGGTGCCTCGCGGACGCCATGCACGGGAAGTGCGACATCGACGCGGCCATGGAGGCGAGGAGGAGGGGGAGGGGAGGAGGGAGGCGGAGCGGGAAGGTGGAGAGGGGCCGGGGGGGGGGGCCGGGCAGGGAAGATAGGGAGGGCAAGAGGGGGAAAGGGGGGAGGGCGAGGGGGATGGCGTTGGCAGGGGAGGCGGAGGGAGAGGCGGAAGGGGGAGGGAAGGAGGAGGCAGGTTGGCGGGTCAGCGTGCTGGAGTGGACGACGCTGCAAGGCGCTCTCCCCTGCTGCTGCTGCTGCTGCTGCTGCTGCTGCTGCTGCGTGGCCAGCCTTCGTGCCCTTTCGGCGGAGAAGGGTGCCCCCCCCCCCGCTGCCCATTCACCGCCTCTCCCCATACTTCGCCCCGTCCCTCCCTTCTCCCCCTGCTTTTCCACCTCCCCCCCGCCCCCTCCCCTCGTCCCCTTCCCGCCCTTCTACTCCACAGCTAAGCACTGTGAATACTACTCTCCTCTCTCTCCTGGTGGCGTCCGGGAGATATTCGGCCCCCCTCCGCGTACTGTTTTTTTATTCGGGATTTCAGGGGAACGTTTTTTTTTTTTTTTTTGTTTCTTCTTTCCCCCACACATCCTGAATGGGGTTCTTGTTTTCCCAGAACACCCTCTCCTTACCACCCACTCCGGCTCCATCTTCCATTCAGCACAATTAATATTTCCTACCACACACAACATTCCAATTACCATAGTTCCTACCACACATTCCTATTCCTTTCTTACCATACATACCATATACCACACATACGTACCATACCGTACAATCCCTCTCTCCAGGGAGGCCCCGCATGAGCGAGGAGGGTATCGGAAAACCATACTATTTACATGGTTTCGTGCCCCTCCCACCCCTCCAGGGAGGCCCCGCCTGAGCGAGGAGGGTATCGGAAAACCATACTATTTACATGGTTTCGTGCCGTTCCCACCCCTCCAGGGAGGCCCCGCCTGAGCGAGGAGGGTATCGGACAACCATACTATTTACATGGTTTCGTGCCCCTCCCACCCCTCCAGGGAGGCCCCGCCTGAGCGAGGAGGGTATCGGACAACCATACTATTTACATGGTTTCGTGCCCCTCCCACTCCTCCAGGGAGGCCCCGCCTGAGCGAGGAGGGTATCGGAAAACCATACTATTTACATGGTTTCGTGCCCCTCCCACACCTCCAGGGAGGCCCCGCCTGAGCGAGGTCGGGTTGGTTTCGTGCCCCTCCCACCCCTCCCGGGAGGCCCCGCCTGAGCGAGGAGGGTATCGGAATACCCTACTATTTACATGGTTTCGTGCCCCTCCCACCCCTCCAGGGAGGCCCCGCCTGAGCGAGGAAGGTATCGGAATTCCATACTATTTACATGGTTTCGTGCCCCTCCCACCCCTCCAGGGAGGCCCCGCCTGAGCGAGGAGGGTATCGGAAAACCATAATATTTACATGGTTTCGTGCCCCTCCCACCCTTCCAGGGAGGCCCCGCCTGAGCGAGGAGGGTATCCGAAAACCATACTATTTACATGGTTTCGTGCCCCTCCCACCTCTCCAGGGAGGCACCGCCTGAGCGAGGAGGGTATCGGAATACCATACTATTTACATGGTTTCGTGCCCCTCCCACCCTTCCAGGGAGGCCCCGCCTGAGCGAGGAGGGTATCCGCAAACCATACTATGTACATGGTTTCGTGCCCCTCCCACCCCTCCAGGGAGGCCCCGCCTGAGCGAGGAGGGTATCCGCAAACCATACTATTTACATGGTTTCGTGCCCCTCCCACACCTCCAGGGAGGCCCCGCCTGAGCGAGGAGGGCATCCGAAAACCATACTATTTACATGGTTTCGTGCCCCTCCCACCTCTCCAGGGAGGCCCCGCCTGAGCGAGGAGGGCATCAAAAAAATGGGTCCCACGAAACCGTTAATCTCTTTATGTGGGGAACTCCGTTAGCATACTTTTTTTATTATTATTAGTTTGAGACAAATCCTGCTCTCGCTGAAGCGCTGGCTTCATTTTCGGGCTACCGCTCGTTCCGAATTGTTCTCCCGCTGCAGCGCTGGCCTCATTTGGAATGATTTCCGCGCTTCCGCTCGTTCCGAATCGTGCTTCCGCTGTAGTGCTGGCGTCATGCCACAGCATGGTTTTCGGTCCTTCCAAAACCATCGGAAGTGATTACACATTCGGTGCCGATTCGTTGATTGTTTGGGCCGCAGAAGCCCCCCTCCCTACTTTGGGGCGTCGCCACGCCATGCTATGTCATGCTGCGCGTCAGTCTTCAACACCATGCTATGCCATGTAATGCTATGCCATGCTACGACATCCGATTGTGCGAACAGGGAGGAGATCTACGCCATGGTACGGGATGGGAGAGAAGGGTGTGACGTCAGACATGACGCGAGCGCACCTAGCTTGCCCCTCCCCCTTCCCCCCCTCCCCGTCCCTCTCCTCCCCGTCCCTCTCCCCCCGTCCCTCTCCTCCCCCCCCTTCTCCCCCCCCGAGAGGCCTGGGGGACCGAGCTGCGCATCGACACCGAGGACGTAGAGATCGGCGAGAGCATAGGCACGGGCTGCACTGCTCAGGCTGCTTGCGGCCGGGCGCCGCGGAGGGTGAGCGAGGTCAAGACGAGCGGGAGGGGGATGAGGAGGGGGAGGATGACGAACAGGAGGGAGGAGGACGAGGAGAAGGAGGAGGAGGAAAATGAGGGGGATAAGGCGGAGGAGGAGGAGGAGG